ACATATATATATATATATATATATATACACATGTAAATAGACATATATACATATATGTATACATTCAGTAAAAATTTATAAAAAGATATATAGTATTGTTTGGTGATACATATGTATATATATATATATATATATATATACACACGTAATTTCTTGTAGCAGAGTGATCCAATGACAATTATGTATTTAAAGAAAAGAGAGTATAATAGAAGAAACTGACAATACATAAATAGATAAACATATATACATATATTTACACATTCAATGGAAGTTAATAATGAAACACATAGTGCTGCTGTTTGGTGATACATACATATATATATATATATATATATATATACACACATATAATTTCTTGTTGCAGAGCGATCCGATAACAATTATGTATTTGAAGAAAAGAGATGGGATAGTAGAGGAAATTGGCCGTACAGAAGTCATACTAAACAATCTCAATCCTTGTTGGATTCAAAAGATTACAGTTGCTTTTCACTTTGAGTCTCTTCAGACATTACTGTAAGCTACTCCACTTCCTTTCTAGTTTCTTTTTATCTGCTTTATATGTATATATATATATATATACATAATTAACAAATTAGTCCAAAATTTGTTATTTATTACAATTTAGCCCATAATATTTTTTTATTCTTACAATTTGGTCCCTTATGTATTAATTCATTTCAAATACTTAGTTTTTTTTTTTCCTATTTTCTTAGTGAAAAAAAGTTAAAATAGTTGGATTATGTTTTTATGCTTTAAAAAGTAATAACTTTAACTAATTAATTAAATTAATTTAACGCTTGAAGCAAATATAAAATTTCACGAATAAAAAAAAAAGGTTAAGAATCCAATTGTAATAAGTGGCGAATTTTAAGAGTTAATTTGATAATTTATCTCATATTTATATGTGTATATACATATTTTATATGTCTTATAATTTCAAGTTTAATCACCAATCATCTCTTCTCAGTTTTCGTGTGTACGACGTGGATACCCGATATCATAATTTACCAGTCAAGGTATGTATAAAATTTTCTCCTTTACTGATCTTTCTTAACAGGTATTAAAACTGATGAAACTGCAAATTTTTTTAATTAAAAAGTGTTATCTGTTAATTTGTTTTTGCTTAATTAGCAGACATTGAAGCTGGAGGATCAAGAATTTCTGGGAGAAGCCAGTTGTGTACTTTCGGAGGTAAGTTGCAATTACTGGTATATTTAACACGACTCGAATTATACCATATTATGGTCAACTATCTCCGGTTAAAGATTAAATTTATTGAGAAAAATTTCAATTAATTATTTATTCGATAATCTTTCTATCGTTCATACTGATTTACGTTAGTAGTATGTTGAATTTTAGTAGATTGTAACGAGAAAAAATCAGACGTTAACCCTAGATCTCCTTGACAAACACGGGCCCTGTGGTTCGAGGAATTTAGGGAAGCTCACTGTCCATGCTGAGGAAACATTTGCTTCTAAAAGTATTGTTGAGATAATGTTTCGTTGCACTAACTTGGATAACAAGGATTTGTCTCTAGAGTGTAAGTACATGTATACATTCATATATATATATAATATATTTTTTTC